CACAAACTTTTGAAGCTCTCTCAAATGTCAGGAAAATATTAAAATTATATTATTAATTCACTGAACTCATCTTTTATACCCTATAGATAATATATATTTAATAATCCCATTTGTTAGATTATTATTTATCAATTATTCAGGAAAATATTTAATTCATTTTCACTAATTTTCTACAACATAAACATGTGGACACTTCCCTTAATAATCAAGAAAATGCCACTTAAGTAGAAAGATGTAAAAATATACATTTTTGTCATATGAATTTGGATAACAGCTATGTGAAATCCTGTTCCCAAACATATTATGAATTTATTTGTTGTTGTTGTTTATTGCCATTGAGCTGGTTCCAACACATTGAGATCCTGTATAGGTTTTTGAGGAGTGGGTGGTGAGCTTGAACTGTCGACTTTGCCATTCAAACAAAATTTGCAGTCCAGCACATAAACCCACAGTGCTATACCAGCACTCCTTAAAAGTTATATAGATAGAACCTCTACATGTGTACAATAGTCAGAATTTGCCTTAAGAATCTAATCTACTTTGCTTATCAAGAAGATAGGAACAGAGAAAATTACTTGTTCTTAGGTATCATTGAGTCCATTCTGACTCACGGAGACAGTGTACAGGATTTCTGAGGCTGTAAGTTTTTAAACAAGCAGAAGCCTCATCTTTCTCCTGTGGAGTGGCTAGTGATTTAGAACTGACAATCCTGTAGTTAGAACTTAAATCCTTATCCTAACTGTTTTAAGCAAATATTGAAAATTAACCTTTCATTAAAACCATTATATAGAGTCATGGTAAAGATAAAAGACATGAAAAACATTCAAGAAATCAGAAAGTCACTGTTCAGGGTAAATAAATGGAAGTTTTGTTTCTGGATAAAATAATGGTAAGAATGTTTTAATATTTTTGTCTTTTTTAAAAACACATAGAGAATGGAAGTTATTTAAAAACAATGGGAATACTAATAATACTATAATTTATTTAAATAGAGCTGTCTAGACACCTGGCATTTGAATGGCATTGTACCATAAACAATGGACTGCTAACCACAGCTCAGCAGTTCAAATCTATCAATCACTCCTCAGAAATCCTATAAAAGGTCACTAGAAATTTTAGTAAAATAATGGATGTATTTCTCACATATAACCAAAGTTATATAAACCCATGACACAATTCTATTCTTTTCTTCCTTCCGTCTTTCCTTCCTTCCTTCCTCTCTTTCTTTCTTCTTTCCTTCCATTGGAACAATTACAATAACAATTTTCTGATACTGCATATCCCAAAAACATTGTTCTGGGATTATTATTCAATACTTTCTTTACTCAATCCCAAGTAGTTTTTTTTTTTTTTTTTTCAATTGTCTTCCTATAGAGCCCTTTTAAATATACTGAAATTAATTAAATAGCTTTTATATAGTTCATGGAACTTGGGAACATCTTGGAATATTTCTAAGTTTAGAAAGTAATATATTCATAAAATTGTATTCTAGAGAGGATGTTAATTATTTTTTAGAGTTAATTAGTCAAGAAGGAGAAGAAGAACATACTTACTCCTTTGTGATTAGATATGCCCTTTACACAGAACAAATCCATTATATGAAAATGAATTTAAATATCAAACCTGAGCATTTGTAAAGTGAATACATTTATTATAATCTGATACATTGCTGTAGCTTTCCCTAGTGCATGCATGTAAAATACACCTGCTGACTAAATATATGTTATGTATTTAACTCAGAGTTTTTTTTTTTTATAATAACATCCTTTGTACAGAGTTCAGTACATACACACATATGCACATATGATTTTCATTTAGATTATGTACAATTATTTCTTTAAGAGGTCATTAAGAAAGCCAAAAAGCATTTAAGTCTTCAATGAAAACCAGTGCCTTTGCTCCTCCTTCTGGTACTGTGCAGAACTAAGCTGAATTTGGATACTTCAGGTACTTCGGTGGTGCAAGTCACAGCTACAGATGCCGATGACCCTTCATATGGGAACAGTGCCAGAGTCATTTACAGCATACTGCAAGGCCAGCCTTACTTCTCTGTGGAACCTGAAACAGGTTAGGGAAAATAAATCTCTTTTTGCTAATTCTGTGACTTTTTTTTATTTTTATACCTAGTAAGAAGATGAGTGAGTAAAGTAAAATGCTGATATTAACACTTGATGAAAGTACAAAGTTAAATGGAAGCCTAAATGGAAATATAATCATTTTTATATTTTTAGTCATGGATTTTGATCATTATAAAATTCATATGTTATTCTTTAGGAATAAAGAAAGATCACAAGTTACAAAATACTTATATTAAACCATGATTTTAACAATTTCTGAACAATTAGAATTCGTAGCAAAGCCTCTTTTGTTTTAAAAAGATCACTACTTTAAATTGTTATTTGTAACGATAACATGAGCTTTTCTATTTTCTTTAAGGCATCATCAGGACTGCTTTGCCAAACATGAACAGAGAAAACAGAGAGCAATATCAAGTTGTCATTCAGGCCAAAGACATGGGTGGCCAAATGGGTGGCTTATCAGGGACCACCACAGTGAACATCACACTGACAGACGTCAATGACAATCCACCTCGCTTCCCCCAGAGTAAGCTCTTTCATGATCTTTCCACAGGACAGAGTTTTTGAATAAAATAATAGTAGCTGTTATTTGCCATTGAGTTGATTCTGACTCAAAGAAACCTTATAGGAACACAGTAGAATTGCTCCATAGGGTTTCCAAGTTTATAAATCCTTACTGAAGCAGATTGTTGCATCTTCCTCCCTTGGAAGAATTCCAATCTCTGACCTTTCAGTTAGCTGTTTTGGTACCAAGGCCCCATTTAAAATAATAGTAATAATAAGCAACTGGCAATCATTTAATTAAAAAAACAAAACAAAACTATGCTATATAAAGCAATAAAGCTTGTATTTCCTGATGATCTCACTGTTGCTTAAATATATAATTAAATATTCCAGTCATGTTTCACTCATCAAGAGGGGTGCTTTCAATCACCTACCTTCTTACTTTTTGCTTTTTTTTCTAGTTAGAAAAAGAAAAGATGCCATTAAAACAAACAAAAAAGTCTGTGTCTTGCATTTATAATGGATGTGTTTGCTTTTACTTAGACATTTAATATAGAGAATTTGAAATTCATGGTACATTTTTCAAGTTGAAAATTTAATTTTATGTGTTAAAAAGTACTCAACTAAAAAAGATATTATAGAAAAAAATCTTGTATATTAATCAAATATGCATTTAGTGCCATTATATTTTAAAAGGTAGCCATACTAGAAAGTCTATGTACCTTTAATCTCTCGGTCTATTTCTAAATCTGTTTTGTGCTATGTAATTGTTGTTGTTGTGTGCCATCGAGTCGATACCAATCCATAGTGACCCTGTATAGAGTTTCTGAGGAGTAGCTGGTGCACTTGAACCACCGACCTTGTGATTCAATGAGACTTAACAGCCAAGCACATTAACCCACAGCAGTACACCAGGACTCCATAATAACCCCTCATAATCTCAAAATATATTAAGAACAAATTAAAAACATTTCCTCTGCACATATATTTTTATCTTCCTCTCTTATATATATTGACTATACATGAAACTAGTGTACGGTGAAATTAGATCTAATAGACATGGCCAAGACAACCAATTATCCTAGTTTTACAAAGGATGTCATATTTCAAGATGGAATGAACCAAATGTTTGGGAATGTGTCAGAACATGAATACTGTTCATATATTTTGTTCATTTTAGTATAATTATTCTGCATTATTCTATAAGTTGTTCCCTAAAATTATTTTTTTGTTTGTATTTTGGCTTAAATATATGTGTAATAAAACATCTAAAGTATTTTACATTGTGATAAATGTAACAGTCAGTAGCAATATTTATATTATTATACTAATTAATCAAAATGAATGATAGCCAAGGAACCCACTGTGATTTTTTAAAAAGCGTTTGGCCTCTTTTTTATGATATTTTAAAAATCAAATTTAGATTATGAATAGCTGCTTGGTATAAATCAGATTGTTTAAAACCATGTACAGAATATAAATTTCATGTAGAAGTTTGTTCAGCAGACTAACCACATCCTCTATGTTATTGCCGATGATTCTCTTGCTATGTATAAGTCCATCAGGCATGCCACAGTGATACCATGCCCCAGAATCCATAGAGAAGGGTGTCAGTTTATGGTCTTTTCAAAGAATTTGGCTTTAATATACCAGACTTTGTCATTGATTATGAAAATAAAATGAAATAAAAAATAATCCTTTAAATTTCTATGGAACACGCCAATAGAGACATAATACTAACACTTACTATTATATTCACATATATATTTCTAACTCCCATTTAGCTTGATCCTGTTACCAGAAGATTAAAAGCACATGTCGTAGAAAATGAGACATAACTAATTAATTATTTATGTACAGAGAACAAGAATATTTCTGGGGGGAAAAAAGAAGTATTCTATCTTTTTAATGTCATTAGGATGACTGCTATACTAAAATGCTCAGGAAAATATGCATTTGTATATAGAATATAATTTACCTCCAAATGATCAATTTTAATAAACAAATTGATGGATTCTAATTAAATAGAGAATTTAAATGTAATAACTTTCAAGAAAAAGCCCATTTTATTTGTGTGTTTTTTCCTTTGTTTTAATTTTCATGTTATTTATTCAACATTTGGCAAGTGTTTCTATTTATTGTAATGGGTGTCTCGTAGACACGTTACACAGTCCCTGATGTACAAGTAATGCTGCTACTATTACTGCAAATACTAGTTTCCTCTTTGTGAATGGAACTTTACTATTAACAGCAAATTCTTTATTGTCTTCACATATTTTCACAACAAATTATTGAGACCAGCAATATTAACCTTCAAAAAATGACACCAGTCAGCCAGTTCACCACACTTTCTACTCTTCCAGGTTCAATAATTTACTACATTGGCCACACAGAATTCAGATGGTATACTCACAATTATGGAGTTTATTAATGAAGCTAAAAGTTTATACCACCACTTGTCTGTCAGTTTGTCATACTGTGGTGGCTTATGACTTGCTGTGATTCTGAAAGCTATGCCACCGGTATTTTAAACACCAGCAGGGTTACCCATGGTGGACAGGGTTCAGATGAGCTTCCAGATGAAGACAGAGTAAGAAGAAAGAGTGACGAACTATTTCCGAATATTTAGTCACTGAAAACCTTATGAATTACAGAGAAACACTGTCAGGTATAATACCGGAAAATGAGCCCTTCAGGTTGGAAGGCACTCAAAATGTGATTGGGGAAGACATGCCTCCTCAAAGGAGAATTGACCATGATGAAGCAAATTGAGTAAAGCCCATGGAACCTTCATTTGCTGATGGGGCACAACTCAAAATGAAGGGAAATAGCTGTGAAAATCCATTGAGAATTGGAACAAGGAATGTATGAAGTATGAATCTAGGAAAATTGAAAGTTGTCAAAAATTAAATGGAACACATAAACATCGATAACTTAGATATTAGTGAGCTGAAATGGACTTGTATTAGCCATTTTGAATCTGAAGAACACATGGTTTACTATGCAGGTAATGAAAAAATGAAGAGGAATGGTGTTGTATTCATCCTCAAAAAGAATATCCACATCAGTCATGAGGTATAACGCTGTCTGTGAGAGGATACTATCCATGCACCTACATGGAAGCCCAGTTAATACCACTATTGTTCAAACTTATGCACCAACCACTAAAGCCAGTAAGGATGAAATAGAAGAATTCTACCAACTTCTTCAATATGAAACTGTTCAAGCATGCAATCAGGATGTATTGATAATAACTAGTGATTGGAATGCAAAGGTTGGGAGCAAAAAGGAAGGATCAGTAGTTGGAAAATATAGTTTCGGTGATAGAAATGATGCTGGAGAATGCATGATAGAATTCTGTAAAATCAATAATTTGTTCATTTTAAATACTTTCTTTAAACAGCATAACAGATGACTATACACATGGACCTCACCAGATGGAACACATAGAAATCATATTGACTACATCTGCAGAAAGAGATGATGGAAAAGCTCCATATTATCAGTTAAAATAAGGCCAGGGGCAGACTGTAGAACATACAATACATTACTCATATGCAAATTCAAACTGAAGCTGAAGAAAATGAAAAAAAATTCCACAAGGACCTAAATATGACCTTAAATATATCCCACCTGAATTTAGAGATCATCTAAAGAAAAATGGATACATTAAACACTAAAGACAAAATACCAGAAGAATTGTGGGATGAAATCAAGAACATCATACATGAAGAAGGCAAAAAGGCATTGAGAAGACAAGAAAAAAGGAAAAGGTCAAAATGAATGTCAGAAGAGACACTGAAACTTGCTCTCTAGCATAGAGATGCTAAAGCAAATGGAAGAAACGATGAGATACAAAATCAGAACAGAAAATTTCAAATGTCAGCTCAAGAAGATAAAACCAAATATTACAACAAAATGTTCAAAGATCTGTAATCAGAACACCAGAATGGAAGAACACGCTTTGCAGTCCTCAAGCTGGTGGAAATGAAGAAAAAATTCAAGCCTTGACTTTCTTTATTGAAAGATTCTCTGGGCACATTATTTAATGATGCAGAAAGCATCAAGAGAAGATGGAAGGAATACACAGAGTCATTGTACCAAAAATAAATGGTTAATGTTCAAGAGTTAGCATATAATCAAGAGCCAATGATACTGGAGGAGGAGGTCCAAGATGTATTGAGGGAATTGGCAAAGAACAAGGCACCAGGAGTTGATGGAATCAAATTGAAATCTTTCAAGAAAGTGAGGTGGCACAGGAGGCACTCACTCATCTCTCCCAAGAAATTTGGAAGACAACTATCTGGTTAATTTATTGGAATAGATCCTTATTTGTGCCCATTCCAAAGAGAGATGACCCAATGGAATATGGAAATCATTGGACAAGCACTTTTATATTCCATGCGAGTAAAGTTTTACTGAAGGTAATACAGAAATGGCTGCAAGCATACATTGACAGAGAACTTCCAGAGGTTCAAGCCAGATTCAGAATAGGCTGTGAAAAGAGGTATAACATGGCTGATGTCTGATGGGTCTTGACTGAAAGCAGAGAACAACAGAAAAATGTTTACCTCTGCTTTATTGACTACACAAAGGTTTTCAATTGTGTGAATCATGACAAGCTACGGACAACATTGGAAAGTATGAGTATTCCAGAACACTTAATTGTGCTCATGAGAAATCTGTACATGGACAAGAGGTAGTTGTTTGAACAGAACATGGGAACACTGAATGATTTAAAATTAAGAAAGGTGTGCAACAATCTTGTATTCTTTCACCATACTTATTCAACTTGTATGCTGAGCAAATAATCTGAGAATCTGGGTTATATGAAGAAAAACATGGCATCAGGATTGGAGGAAGACTCATTGAGCACCTTTGATATGCATATGACACAACCTTGCTGCCTGCAAGTGAAGAGGACTTAACATATTTACTGATGAAGATCAAAGAGCACAGCCTTCAGTATGGATTACATCTCAATGTAAAGAAAACAAAAATCCTCACCACTGGACCAATAAA